CAAGTGCTCAGTAACACATAAACCACTTTTTCTCAAAATGGCCGAAATAGAGTTACATCTTTGTGTCACTGATCCCTTGAATTCTGGATAAACTAGTGAATGAGACCATGATGAGACAAAGACTTTAGATCTTGTGTCCAAGAGCTGTAAGAAGTAGTTTGTGGTATTGTAAGTGGTCTGAGAGATGTGTCAATATTGGGCAAGCCAGCTACCTGAAAGGTCTTAGCTCTCAAGATGTAGAACAACACAAGATGAAGGAGATGAGAGGATGGATGGATGGATGGATGAGGGGAGAGATGGAGTGAAGGGGAATTAAAGAGAGAGAGAGAGAGAGAGAGAGAGAGAGAGGAAGAGTATGACATACAGTCAAACCTTTCTATAGCGACCGCCCAAGGGAAACACAAAAAGTGGTCTTTGAAGACAGGTTCCTTTATTACATGTTTCAATGAGAAACCATTTTCAAGGGAAACAAAATATGTGGTCTTTGTGGACAGGTGGTCTTTATTGACGGGTGGTCAATAAAGCAGGTTTGACTGTACTACCGTTAGCCCCAAAACATTACAAGAACATTTGTGATGTTTGAGAAGTTTCCCCACCATGATTTATGAATAATTGGATAAAGATGTATTTTGATGGGATTGTCCCATTTACCTGTTGGGTTATTCACCTCGATAACAGAAATCACAGGAAAACTTCAACCTAATACACAGGTAGATTGCGTATTTAGGACTTGCGAAGGACATCTATATATTTTGTTCTTCAGCATCTACAAACCATTGATGGATAGCTAGCATGCATCCCCGAAACCTACTACCAAATTACAGACAGACGACGCGGCCGCAGCAATCACGTGCATGCAACATACGCGAAACTAATTCTTGAGGAGAACAATTGGTCTGTTTCGAGAGCGCTGACCATGTAGAGATTAAGTCGCTGAATACTGTTGGTCGGGCAGTTGTCCAAAAGAAGACGTAGATGGCAATAAACAGTATTTGCCAAGCTACATTCCCTTTAAAAAATCTTACAATATCATGTCATAAACAACTTTTATGCAAGAAGATATGCCGGGAGGGGGCAAAAGTGACTCGTGATGGTGTAAAGAGGGGAGGGGGAAAGTCATAGGATGCTTATTTGCTGCTCAAACTCCTCCTAGCCACACAAATAATGGAATTAATTGGGTGGAAAATCACTTCTATCTCTCAACCTTGCATTCAGCAGCTCAAGAGCCCCCCTTTTATCCTTTCACAATTGTTTCCTAAGAACATTGACAAATAAAAAGGAGCGTTCTCCGTCCCAATTTCTGAATGTTCACCTCAACGAAGAGGGGAACTAATCCACAACATGTATATTTGCATGATCCTGATTGCATGTGTGGTAAGAACTTCAAATACTGGAAATCAACTCCGGCCTTTTGATTGCTTTGAATGGGGGCAAGAATAGAAAGCATTAGGAGGGGAATATTTGTTGAGTATAAACAGCTTCTGTATACCGTCATCCACTGTGGATTTCTAAAGAAAGTGGAGTTTTGGTTGGGCTAATCAATGTACCCTCCCTATATAGTTCCTGAACTATGCAAAGTTTGTTCTGTGTGATTTAAAGATGAAGGAGGATAAGAAAGAATCAAACCAAGCAAAGAAAAAACTAAACAAATAGTGGATACCTAGCAACTCTAAAAACTGACTACCAAATTGGATTCAATAAATCTTTCTAGTCTATCTCATGCACACCCTTTTGGTAATACTGAATTAAATCATAAATCAACTTACCTGTAAGATGGTAGAAACATTGCCATGATGAAAAGTCAAAGGTTGGATGAAGAGCGGAGAGTGGGGAGAAAAGGAGAAAGAGAAAATACATTAACTTAAATCGATTTGAGACTCAACATTTCAGCACTGGAATGATTCTCGAAGGAATTTGCATATTACCATCTTTAAAAATGTCATCCACCTCATCATTATTGGCAGCATCACCCTCCTCCTCCTCATCATCACCACCATCACCACCACTGTCCTCCTCTCCCCTCCTCATCCTGCCCCTTATTATATCTACCATCATCATCACCATAAGCTCCACCACCACCACCACCTCCATCACCACAACTGCCACCTCTCTCAACCTCTCCCTCCTCCTCATTACCACCACCATCATCATCACTATAAGCTCCACCTACTCTCTCATCCTCCTCCTTCTCCTCCTCCTCATCACCATTTTCCACCACAACCACCACCACATCGTCATCATTGTCGTCATCATTTTCATCTTCATTTTCGTTATCTATCATCTGCTGTTCTATAAATCTTCAAGTTTCCATGGTAACTACCACCATGAATTCCCTTCATCATACCAATCATCATACCCTAATTTTACATTATGAACTTCACTCATGTAAATATTGCTGGATCAACTAACAACTCTATAAAAGCAAAGCACATGCATACACCAAACCATAGATACAGAATATTACAATCTCCTCTGTGATTAGACTACCAGAGACATAGAATACTGAAAGAGGATTGCCTCTTCTCTTTCCAAGCCACGCCAACTATTGTAATTCCATCTATATTATTAATACGCAAAATCGCCGCGGGGGGTCTAAAACGGGGCAAAACGGTTCCTCAAAAACGTCTTTCCCCGACCCCGCTCGCCTCCACCGTGGCGCGGGAACGGTGGCACAATTCCACGAGGCCTGTCTCCCGTAACCCGCGTGCCACCTCGACCCCGCGATCGACGTCAATGCCGTTAAACGCGGTTTCGGGGTTTCGGGGAGGATGGGCGGACGAAAGCACGGCGGGCGTCGTGGATTGCAAGGAGGCGACGAACCCGCGAGAGCGAGTTGACAAGGCGTGCTCCCGCCCTTTGTCTAATTATCAAAGAGAGACGAAGAGACACATAATAGACGAGAATCCACTCGCATCAACGGGTGTAGCAAATCTTATCGTAAAACGGTGGGGCGTACCCCGAGTTAGACCTCTTACTATAGGATATGCTTTGTAGCGTGTCAGAGAAATACACATTAACCGATGACTCACCCGGTTGATGAGATGTAGTAAATCTACGCTCTGACGGGCTGGGCTTACCCGTGTTATGGATCTTGCTATAGGGTATGCTTTGTACGCCAGACGGCCTATGCCTGTACGTGTATGCGATGATTTTACGCTCATGTCACACGCACAGTCGGTTTGCGACTTCTATGATTGCCGTGATTTGTGATTTGTATATAGTTAACGTGAATTAGAGGTATGAAAGCAGGGCTAACTTTGTGATTATCCCGTCCATGTTTACTGAATTGTGATAATCATTCTTCAAAGTAAAGTTTTCACAAGGAATCCATCGTAACTTACAGTTCAGTTGCAAGCTGGCTGTCTTGAGGCTCGAGTCCACACACGGACAGCGCATTGCGCCACATGCACTGCTGCCGTGCACTGTCGGAACTGTGACTGTGTGTGAGCTGAGCTGGGCTACATAGAGTAGACTCGACATTCGATAACACTTTGAAATTGCTCTTATTGCCCTGATTTCAATATAGTTTCGTGATTATAGAGGTATGAAACCTGAGCTTAGATTGTGATTATTCTGGCCATGTATAGTTGTATGCTGAATGTCGATAATCAATTGTCAAAGTAAAGTTTTCACAAGAAAATCAGACGGTCCCGGGTCGTTTAAAAACATAACCTAGCTCATTAGCTGAATACTAGAATACTAGAATACTATAGAATACTTTACTCAGTGATACACAGTTCTTGCATCAAATCAATGCTTTCAAACGGGTATGACGGTCGCCATTCATGGTCAAACAGGGTATATTATAAAAATCGTCTATACCCTATATAAAAATAATCACATATTATTTTTGATTGCACATAACCTCATAGGCCTCTTTCTATTTACCCCCCCCCCCCTCCCCCCTCCCCTCCTAGAATCCCGTGGATTTTCCACGGGTCCTGCTAGTTTCTCCACTACTCACTGAAATATAATAAGATGAAGTTCTCATCTTGTTAACAAGTAAACAACTGGAAGATCACCAACTGCAACTGCAAAACATTTGCAAGGGGATGCCTTAGGTTAGTGATAATATGTAAGCAATTCAAGATCTTAGAATTAGAACACTTGTTAGAAACCTTTAAAGCATCTCATTCTATCTCTTTCCGAAGAGGATGGATTATAATAAGACTGGCCATTATCAAGGTGATTTCAAGGAGTATTAGTACAAGCCCTACTCATCTAGATCTTATATATAAATAAAGGAAGATGTTTGCTATCATCAATGGAACTAAGGATTGGAGTGTTGTGGGAAATTTCTACAAACTGAAAAAAGATGCACAAATAGGACTTAAGTAAAGAAATGCTATAGCATTCTCAAATATGGAATGCCTATAATGTCTCCTGATTAAAAGAAGAAAACAAAATTATGAATAAGATAAGATATGAAGAAGAAAAAACACCTATAAAGTTGATTTATAAAATCTATTATGAAAATGGATTGTGGATATTATATTGTCAGCTTAGATGAAAACATAAAGCCAGGTAGGGTAAGGCACAGACCATCATAAGTAAATTTGTTACCACGGCTACATGCTCAGTATAAACACATGCCTATATCACAAGAGGTACATGCATAATATCCAATCATTGTTGGATTGCTAGGAAGAGGATCTACAAATAGATTACAAAAACCGTTGGCTCAAGTCAAATTATGCAAATCAATTGCAACTCCTTCTGGTTTAAAACTATTTCAATCCGATTGTCCATATTCAAACGTTTTCCTTCCATCTATAAACCTCCTAACTGACATCAAGCTCACCCTAAGGGGCTAATAGCTTGCTTGGTATGTTTGAAAGCGTAAGAAGATTTTGGAAAGAATCCCAAAAAGCTTGCTTATCCTAAGTTACTTCACTGTCGCCCTACAATGGCCCTCTATTGATCTGACTTGAGGCTGTTGTGGATTTCACAAGATTTCGCAGGATACTTGAAGAAAATCTAGCTTTATTTTGTTACGAATATGCAAATGAGATGGTGATAAAATATGCTAATTCCAAGATGTGGCTCGAGTTGAGAGCAATAAACGGATCAAAGGTAACCAAATCATCTTGATTGTTCTTTATTTATCAAAATAATTCAGAGTTGTGGAAGGGCCAATGTGAGTAGATTGCCCCGACCCAACAGATTGGGGGCTTGTCTCAAGAGCTAGATATAGTAACATATGCTGTTTTGTTACTTTTCCGATCCGAAATGCGTATTGTTTGGAGTTTGCCTTCTGTCCCATTCATGGGTTTTCGTGTGGTTTTCGCACACATTTAATGACTGTGGAATGTCTGTGCTGTAGTCATGGTAGCTAGTGTAGCGTCCATAATAGGGTTAAGCCTACACAGTTTGATTTTGTTTTGTACTTGCTCGGGTCTTGTCTGGGGTATATGCCCCTTAGATGTAGTCTCATTGGTATGAAATTCACTGCACATCTGCTGCGGTTGTCTGGTATTCTGGTCCTGGTTTGGCTTGTTCTTGCATGGCAGTCGTTGAAGGAGTTAGTCGGATTGACTTTTTACTTTTCCTCGGCTTCATTTCTACTTCTAGGGTAATGGCCTAGATTAGTTGTTTGCATGCAATCTAGTTTGCTACACATCTGATGTAGTGTGGGACTGTGGGTACTGGACTTTCTGGAAATTATTCCATTTTCACGTGTGTTTGTGTGCTATTTAGACTAGATCTATAGTCTACGTGTAAGTGTAAGACTAAGAGTTGATGAAATCTAACCAAAAAAAAAATTTACTGGAGTTGTGGAGGTGGAGTCTCAATATAACCCTCTGCTGCATGGCTACATGTATATCAATTTCACAGAATTGGTGATAGTTTGATGCTTAATCAATTTTGTTTTGCTTAGTCGGTTGGTCAATTTTTGTTGTTTCATCTGTTGTTGGACTATACTCTGTACGTGTTGATTCACATTCAACATTTTTCTTGGATTTTCCTTCCAGTCGTCAGGACAATTGACCTACTTTGTGAGACTTGTGTAACTTGCACAGACTAGATCTATACAATGGCTGACTTTGATATTGAAAAGTTTTTGAGTCAGGACTTGACCATTGGCCGGTTACGTCAGCTACGAAAGGTTGATTTAACAGCTGTAGGAACAAAGCTATCGGTAAATCTAACTGGTCACAAAAGCAAGGCAGAAATAATTGATGCAATTTCAGCCCATGCAGGACTGATCGCTGCGACGGCCGCGGCCCGAGAAGATGCGCATACAAATAATGATAGTGGTGGTACTAATAACCAAGGTAAAGCTACCAGTGATGAGGTTGACCTTGATTTAGCTAAGATTGAGCTAGAGGAGAGAAGAGATAGAATAAAGGCTGCTGAGCATGAGAGAGAAATGGAACGAGATAAACTAAAGGCTGCTGAGCATGAGAGAGAAATGGAACGAAAGAGGTTGGAATTTGAAATGATGCGTCATCATGAAATGACTTCTCATGGTAGTCAGTCTGGTGAGAGAGACAAGAGGTCGATAGAAGCTGGGTTCTCTGCTAGGGTTAAGCTTGTTCCTAGATATGATGAAAATGAGTTAGATTCATTCTTTCTTATGTTTGAGAGGGTTGCCAAGAGGATGGAGTGGCCAGAAGATGAATGGGCATTGCTCATCCAACAAGTAATTTCTGGTAAAGCTCAGTCGGTTGTGTCTGCACTGAGTTATGAGCAGGCATTTGATTATTGGACAATGAAGGATGCTATTCTTCAATCATTTGAGTTGATTCCAGAAGCCTACCGTCAGAGGTTTCGCAATCTCAGGAGAGAAACTGGAGAGACTTGTGTAGAGTTTGCTTGGAAAAAAGAAGTTTCCTTCGATCAGTGGATCAGATCTTTGAAAATAGATGCCACATATGATTCTCTTAGAGAGGTTATGCTCATTGATGAGCTTAAAAGATGTATGTCTCAAGAGGTTAGGACATATGTCAATGATAATGTAGTTAGTGATGTGAGAAAGGCTGCCATGTTGGCAGATGGATACGAATTGACACATAAAGGGAGTAGTTCACCACTTACTAGGCGTAGGACTCAATCTAGGTCACCTACGACTCAGAGGAAGTCGGGTAACACCGGCACTAATCAGAGTAGTGGTTTTGGAACTGAAGGCAGACTTCTCTGTGCCTACTGTAAGAAAGAGGGCCACCTTAAGACACAATGTCCAAGACTAAAAGTAAAAGGAAAAAATCTTGAACAAGAAATTACACAGCCTAGTGGCTTTGTGCGCATAGCAGCAGTCGACATGCAAAAACATGTAATGAACGATCACAATGAAATAAAAAGAAGTGATCAAGTAAGAGATGTTGGACATGATGAGGAGATTGATGAAGGATTTCTAGATTTTGTTTCTTATGGCACGGTTAGGTTCAGTGTTGATAATAAGGAGTGTCCTATTACAATATTAAGGGACACTGGTTCTATGAAAACGTTGCTTATTGCTGATGAGTCGTCCTTGGACACAAAGAATTTCACTGGCAAGAAAGTTTTGGTTCAGGATGTGAATGATGGTTTGAAACCGGTTCCATTATATACTATCGAGCTTAGCAGTGGATTCGTTTCTGGACCAGTGACTGTTGGCATTGTTACTAAGTTGCCAATGAGGGGAATTTCGATGTTGCTTGGCAATGATTTAGCCGGAAGTAAAGTGTCGCCATCGCCAGTTGTGTGCAACACTCCTGTGGGGAATTTTGAGGCAGGGAAATTGGAAAGTGAAGTTCCTGGTTTTTCCCCTTCGTGTGTAGTTACTGGAGCCCAGGCTATGAAAAAGAAAGAAGATGACAAGGATGGTGACGTCAATTTGGGTGACACTTTTTCCAGAACGTTGGAGGAGGGCCAAGATGACCAGAGTCATGCTACGACTATCTTCAGTCAGCCTGCCTTGATTGAGGCTCAGAAAGCAGCAGAGGACTTGAAGATGTTGTGTGATGTTGCTCTACCAGCAGGAGAAGCTGAAAAAGTGTTGCAGTGTTATTCCACAAAATGTGGTGTGCTGATGTCAAAACCAGTGCTGGACGCTCCAAACTTCCAGAAGCCTTTTCAGCTTGCCGCTGACGCCAGTGATGTAGGAGTTGATGCTGTTCTCCTACAGATGGATGACATGGGTCTCCTGGAACCCATTAGCTACTTTTCCAAGAAGCTCAACCCCCACCAGCGAAGATGTTCTACTATAGAGGAGTGCCTTGGTCTCGTCTTGCCAGTTCAGCGCTTCAACGGGTACCTGAGCAACTCTTCAGAGGTGACTGTATTCACAGATCATAATCCATTGACTCTTCTTGAGCGCTTCAGAAATGAAAACCAGAGACTGTGTCAGCGGAGCATGATCTCCAGCCTTATGGACTGAAAGTGACTCATATCAAACGAAAAGGACAATATAATCGCAGCCACACTTTCTAGAGCTTAAGCAAGCCTACTGAACATTCGACACATTGTGAAGAAACTAGAACTTTAATATTTTGTCTTTATTCGTCACAAGGAAGCTACACAATATTTATTGCTTTGTATTTGTACATGTACTTACATGCTGTGAACTGATGGATCAGACAGTTCAATAATTTTGAACAGTGATATAAATGATCATGTATGAACATTTCACCTATTTACAGGGAGACGTCAGTATGGACAGTGGACTATATTTTGTGCAAAATGTGCACTATTTGTCATTGTTTTCTTACCTGTGCCTACATGAATAATAATTTCATGTCTTTTCTTGATTCTGTTTGTACGTTATTCAGAATAGTTTTCTTTTGATCAAAAGAGAACAGTTATTGTTTATACGCAGCACTGTTAGCTATGCTATGCAAAGCTTGATGCATTTTCCATTTTATACAACAACAAAATAATTATGATAATAATTTGCATAAAAGGCAACTGTTATCAAAATTACAGGTGTAAAACCAATTGAAAACATAACAAAAGTGTAGCATCACAACTTGCGTAATGTTGTTTCACAGATTTCAAAGATTATTGACTGCCAGTATTGCATATGTATGTGTTTGTGATTTAACTTGATAAGTCTTGCTTATTTGTTTGTATCTAAACAAGTTTCAGTTTATAGCTTGCAGCAGTAACTCAACAGATTATGTTACTCATGTAATATGTACACAAAATATGTACATGTATGTACCCTTATTCTTGCATTTACTGTCAGAAATATTTCAAACCGAGCTGTGCACAGTTATGTGGATCATTATAACATATTGCTTTTGTTGACCGACATATTTAATGAGACTCTGTATGCATTCCGACATAGTAATGAGGTGTTGTCATAGCAACGCGTCATGTGACTAGGTTGTGCGCGTTCATTATATGAATATGCAATCACCTGTTATTGTAGTTGTGCGCATTTAGGATATCGGCGCCTGTGCTGAATATTCAGTGTTTCATTTATCGCGCGTGCTTATTACGCTCATATATTCATGTATTCATATATTCATTATGTATGATGTGTAGAGACGTGTTTCGACCACCACAGTTTGTGGTTCTTTACAAAAAACAGGCATTGTGTCTGATTAATGTCATGGTACTTACTTCCAGGATTTAGGAAGAGAACATACATGTATAATGTTATCTATCGAAGTTGTTTTCATTATTCTGCAGTTTGTGTTTTGTTATTGAATGTTGAAATGAAAGGACTAATCGGTCTGTCTTTGATATTAGAAAAAATGATGTTCATATGCCAGCTTGTTATACCTTTTGTGTGGTTAATTTCTCGCCTTTACATCTTACATTGTTCTGAAGAAAGTTCTAACTACTGATAGAAACTTTCTTTTATGGGGGGAGATATGTTACGAATATGCAAATGAGATGGTGATAAAATATGCTAATTCCAAGATGTGGCTCGAGTTGAGAGCAATAAACGGATCAAAGGTAACCAAATCATCTTGATTGTTCTTTATTTATCAAAATAATTCAGAGTTGTGGAAGGGCCAATGTGAGTAGATTGCCCCGACCCAACAATTTGTTCTTGGTTTATAGCGTCCATTTGGCGTATCTCGCCTCACCTAGAGCCTAGAGGGCGGAAGAACATCTGCTGGGCGTGTGGATAAAGACAGGAGCTTCAATATGAGATGGAGACAGTGAGGGACTGGACCAAGATAAATTTGTATTATCATTGCTAAACTTTCAACTTCACACCTTTTTCTTATATTTTAATCTAAATTGATAATTCAATGACTTTCACAACCTTGAAGTAGTACCTTAAAAGAAAGGCATATATTACAATCAAACCTGCTTTACTAACCAACGTCTACCAAGACCACATTTTTCCCTTGAAAATGGTTTCTCATTGAAACATGTACTAAAGGAACCCGTCTTCAAAGACCACTTTTTGTGTTTTCCTTTGGCGGTCACCACATACAGGTTTGACTTAAAGAGAGGGAGGGAGGGAGGGGAGGGAGGGAAAGAGAGAGAGACAGAGAGAGAGAGAGAGAGAGAGAAAGACAGACAAACTGAGATGACAGGCTACTAAACGAATGTCTGTTTGCAGTAGAGCATGACACAGTTTTAAGAAGTGATTTAGCTTCAAGCAAGAAGTACATCTCTCTCTCTCGTTCCTTTCACCTGTTTCATAAATTGCTCAAATGCAAGAGATAATTGAGAGTTTTGCCGGAAGATGTAGGGGGAAGAAATCTGAGATGTTTTTGAAAGAAAATCATTTGCGAAAACAGGGTAAGGCCCGTTAATGACAGGGATTTTCGTCTTCCATGTGGAAAATACACGCCTCTGGGCGAGAGGGTTTCACCACGCGCTTTTAAGTATGTGGGTCTGGTGGCGGTATGCTGACTGACAGCACATTTATATAGACTCTCACATGACTTTTCTCTTTACAAAGCTGAAAAGTTTCTCAAGTGGAGCAAGTATGATGGACGTTACCGACTAGTATTGTCGTTTGCAGGCACTAATAGTCTGTTTTGCTGTATAGGGTGCGTCCATACATAGTTTTTTTATCACATTACCTGAGCAGAAAATTCAAAAATTTGAACATAGTAAGGATACTTCCTTAAAATACAGGATAATTTAACATGATGCTTTAGTTGTTGTTTTTTCTCCTATCTTTCAAGCCTAATCATCCAAGAGAATGTTTACTTGTGTAACTACTAGCCCAGCTCAAAGTGACCCGTAACTCTGAAATCCCTATAAAACAAAATCAATTAACAAAAAGGAAAAAAGGCTCGGGTTAATTTGCATAACCATCAGTTCCCCCCTTGACATGATAAAACAGTGACATCATCTAACACCTAACTAAGGTCATAAAAGGGTGCTTTAAAGTCAGTAGGTCCCCATAAAATCCACCTTACTATTGTGTTTCTTATCTTAAGTAAATGATATCAATGACACTAACAAATAGCTTTTAATCTGAATCTAACAGCATCTACCATTGACACAGGTGTGGAATAAACATACCTTATCTAATGGCTTGATATTCTCTCTTTAAATTCTCTCTAGTCTCTTTAAATTCTCTTTAGAGAATACAAAGCCTCTACAGAGCAATTTTCTACAATTTTCTACAATTTTAAGGAGTTGCAGAAACAGAGGAAAACAAAAGGCCTATTATAGTGATGCCTAGGATTTGTGATAACCAAACTTTTTTCTTACTCAAATTAAAAAGAAACCAAAAATGGGCAACAATATATTAAAATCATGTGTAGTAGTTGATCTTGTTTAATATTTATGGGCTCTAAAGGTTATGCTAGGATGGTGGTGTAACTCCCAGTAAAAAGTTTCATGGAAAATTTAGAAATATACCAAGAATTGTTATAAATACAGTGAAACCTGTCTATAAAGACCGCTCAAGGGAGACAAGAAAAATCTTTGGGATGGTTTTAATGATACTTTCATGTCATATACTGAATTTGTGAATGACATAAGATCTGAATCTAATGATTTTATAATTAATAATTCAATATTCTATATAAAATAGCCAATTCAAGATGAAAGATTTTATAGTTTGAGATGTTTATTAGTGTTGCTTGTTTTAAAAGTCATTTAAAAGGGAGTATATATATGTTATCCTATGGAAACGTTGGTATTTCAAACTTGATGACTATGACGTGTTAATTTGATGGTTGGGTAGTGTCAAGTCATAAAATTCAATTAGCAAGTGTTAATGAGGCAATCAGTATTAAACCCTGCTTGTTAAATAGGGCACAAGCATTGTGTAGTATAAAGATGGCCATTTCTTTACATTTTTGGTTCTAATCTTTCTCCTTTTCTGTTTAACTCTAACCCCATCAATCCCACTCCCTCCTTCTCCCCCCCTCTCTCTCTACATCTATATATTTATCTCTCTCTATCTCTTTCTTACTTTGGTCTCCCTTAATTCTCCCTGTTCCCATCCCCATCTCTCTCCCCTCTGTTCCTTTTCTATTCTTTCCATACTCCTCTCTCACTCTATCTTTCCTCTTCTTGCTCTATCTTTCCACTTCTCTCTCTCTCTCTCTCTCTCTCTCTCTCTCTCTCTCTCTCTTACACTGTAATGCTGGTATTATAATGATGTGTAAAATTTTGATAGACTCTCAAGTCTCAATCGCAAACTCCTTCCTGGTCATAATCAATGACCATCAGTCATGACAATTCAAGACATTGTACCGGCAAAGGTCCTGCTTTCAATCACAGAAAAAGAAAAAGATGGTTATCACGATATAATGTCAAAATTGATCAGGCTCCTTCCAAACTGGAATAATTGATGCCTTTTTAAAAGCATCGCCACAGGTGCATAACTCTTGAAGTATTCACGCACATGAATGATATCTCTTAAATCTCAAATAAAAAAGAAACATGGGTACAGTTGAGCAATTGTTACCGGGTTGATGAAACAAAATAAGCGTGATTTACGAACAAGGTCTAGCATAAATGAGTAACAAATTGCTTCAGTTTGTAAATTGAAAGGAGGTAATTGAGTTTCTGTTTGTGGTTTGTACTTTATTCTAACAAACGAGGGTTTGGTCTCGAGAATAGAATGCAAACATTGTTTGCTGGATGCTTGGAGTCAGTAACCTTTGGAGGAAGAACAATGGTTAGATTTTTAAATGGCAAGGCTGGCTGGCAGGATTCTGCTCACAACTCTCTTTAATACAGACATTTTTTAAAATTTCATTCATTAATTCCCTCTATTTTGGAGATAGACCAATGATTAGGTTATATATGGTCAGCCTGTCAAAGAAGGTTCTGTACATGTCCACAACTCAAACTCTTGCAGAATTTAAATTATTTATACAAAAAATTATTTCTTCCCTCTTTTATAGAGAGGGTCAGCCTGGCAAAGTTTTGTACAAGCCCATAACTCTAACTCTTACAGACATTATTTTGGAAATTATTTAATTCATTTCTTCCATCTATTCTTTAAATAGAATAATGGTTAGGTTCTAAATGGCAAGCTTGGACAGTTTCTGTATACATCCACAAAACTTTAAGTCTGCTTTTATTAAAATCATTCGTTCCCTCTCCCAAACTCTTTTAACTCTCACATACACTCTTATAAACATACTCTTTGAATTATTTACACACTAGCAGGACCCGCGGAAATCCGCGGGATTCTAGAGGGGGCGGGCGGTGTAAATAGATATATAGAGAATGTCTAAATTAAAACCACCAAGAACGTTATTTGCCATTCAGGCCATTAAAAAATATACATGTTTAGCGTCCCCGCCCGCTTCCTTTTTGGGGGCCGCCTCCTATTTTTTTTTTTTGATTTTTGATTTTTGATTTTTTTTTTTTTTTTTTTTTTTTTTTTTAAAGAAAAAAAACATCGTCCCCGCCTGCTTCCTTTTTGGGGGCCGCCTCCTATTTTTTTTTTTTTTTTTTTTTTTGAAAGAAAAAAAACATGAAAAGCACTGCTAAAATGTATTTTTGATTTTAAAAAAGAAAAAAAAAAAAATTGTCGGCCGCCATCTTGAAAAATAGTCCGAATGCCAGGGAAAATGTACGGAGCGGCCATTTTGAAAGAAAGGAAAAAAAAAAAAAGCGCCTCCTCCTTCCCATTTTTCAAAAAAACAGGACGCTATAAGCATGTTTTTTTTTAAATTTGGCCTTACATTAAATTAAAAAAACAATCCAACTGTACCGGTAGTTATTCTTTAAGCCACTGGAACTACGTAGAGTTCCGTAGTGTGGCGTACCGACTACGCAGAAATTAGGCTGCGTATTAATGGGAAAATAGTCCCTGCGTAGGTTATGCGTAGGCTGGCGTACAGGTTTGCTTATGGTTGCTTACTGTGTGGAAAGCTTTTACTGCTTAGTCGATCTGGCGTAGGGTAGCGTACTGTTGCGTAGGCATACGTAGCGTAGTGTTGCGTAAAAAGGCGTACTTTCTGCGTCAAGTTTCTACGCCGAAAGTACGCAAAAAAAATTAAACATGTTGAATTGTTTTCGTTCACCTTGCGTACCCCTTTCCGTCCCTCAGCATATAGTGACGTAGGCCAGCGTAGTTGGTACGCAACACTACGCAACTCTACGTATTAACCCCACGCCAATTAGTGACCCGCAAGTGTCACAAATAAAGTATTAAAAATATGCTCATCTGACCCTAATTTAACGCCTAAAACCCCCGAGCTTTTGGGGGTTTATGGCCCCTTGAAACCCGTGGACCCCACGCCTATATTATATATCAAGCAACTCAGGACCCGTGGAAATCTGCGGGATTCTAGAGGGGGGCGCAGGCAAAAAATTAAGTTTTTCATTTCGGGGGCTCCATTTCAAATTTTTGGGAAATTTTCGAGGGCTACTTTTTCAACTTTCGGGGGCTCTTTTTTCTGGGGCTACTTTTTCATTAATTCATAAAAAACGATAGGCCTACACTTTGTTGAGATTTGTTCAGTAGGCTAAGGTTTCAGGCTTCCTTCTTCATAATTGCCTATTTAAAAAAACAAAACATTTTTCTAGTTCAATAACTAAGTTTTCATGCATTGATTTGATGCAAGAACTGTAACATAATAGAACCTAGATTGTGATTATTTCTGA